GGAACTATTCTCGTGAATCTTTACTGTACGCTCTTTAACACCATCATATCCTTCCTGCAGTGTGCTGCCTAGAACAGGACCATTTTCGGTTAAAAGTTGTTAATAACTGTTAATCTAAAAGTATATATCTCAGGATTGTTTAATGAATGCATTTCTAAATTGATTATAGGCATCTTGAATGCATGTATTCCATCCAATCCAGTGGTTAAGTTAGAATCTGATGAAGAGAATATTGTATCCCTGAACAAGCTGATATTATCAAAAGTGGGAGCTGGTAGTTTGAAATGAGATGTTTTATTTTTCCTGGGGGAGTTTTAAAATGATACAACCATGAAATGGTGAAGAAATCTAGGTAAGCAGAGAGTGTCTGATGTCAAGTGGACTGATCTTAAGATTAATATTACTGGCATGAAGAAATAAAATTTTAAACAAGACGATTAGAATGGAACGTGTTACCATGAATCAGTCTTGAAGACTAGCCAGTCGTGGCATGTCAGAGGGAATTAGATAAAGATTGGAAGAAGGACAGTATGAAAGGATGAACATGGGGAGCTCCATTGTGGAACAAGAATTAGTGCAGTCACAAACAGTTCAAGTGGTGACTGACTGATTTACATTTCTGTCACTCTTGTTCAGCAACCATTGCAAAAAGTTATTCCTCCTGAATGTTTTGATGCGCAAAGGTTCAGCAACCAAGTTGGAGCTGTCACAACTGGTTTCTAATTCACTCTCATCTATGGGCTCATTTTGTGTTGTGAATGTTTTTGTTTATTTTAAGAAAATCATTTTGCTCGTTCACACGGAACACTTTGATTTAATGTAATCCACAACCTAATCTTTTGTGAATTGAACTATACTGTTTCAAAGCACACACTTTCTGAGTGTTTTACGGCTTTATAAATAAATGGAGGACTCATGGGATACTTTGTAAAAAGGTTTTGGCCTTCAGGTGATACTAAATATACAGTTAATTATTGTACCTTCCACAAAATGCAATGATTTAATGTTTGACATATTTTTGACCGAAGATTCAATGTTTTCTTCGAAAACTGTCTAGGCCCGAAACGTTAGCCTTCCTGCTCCTATGATGCTGCTTGGCCTGCTGTGTTCATCCAGCTCTACACCTTGTTATCTCAGATTCTCCAGCATCGGCAGTTCCTACTATCTCTGATACAAAGTCTATTCTTATTTGGCCAGCCATATAAGTACTGTATATTTCAAAAGTTGGCACAATAATTGCCCATTATTAACCGTATGTAATACCTAATGAAAACTTTTATTGATCAATCCTTTGAAGTACACTGTACTGTTACAAAACAACCTAAACCAATGTGAACCATACAAAAAAAAAGGAATCTCTGCAAACTGATTTCAATAACTCCCTGTCACAAGATATTGTCATCCTTTAAACCTGACCTTGGTATCAACCACTTTATCTTTCCTTATGTATCATACTGCCAAAAGTATTCAAAAGAACAATCAAATAAAGTAATTGAAAATCTGCTCAAATATTGTATTAGCTCCGTGCTGGGACCCGTGCTGTAAAAACAAATACAGCTGTACAAATGCCCAAAGATTAAGGTACATTTTAAAATTATAGATATGTTTTGTCTCTGATATACAACACACAGATATAACAGAAATAAATTTTGTTACATGAATAAATCAGCATTTTCAAGGGACATAACACCAAGCATTTCACAGGAGCATTATTGAGCAAAACAAGCTGCAGCGTGAGATGTGAAATCTTTGCAAAAGGGAGAAGTTTTAAGGGGCATCTTAGAGGGTAGAGAGATTAAGAGAGGGATTTCCAGCACTTAGGACAGAGTTACTGCTGAATATCATCACTCTCTTACAGAAAATTGTGAATACCCAAGAGGCTAGTTTTAGGGGAGCACAGAGTAGCTGTTGGCAGCTGGTTTCCGAGTTGTTTTTGTTAATTCATGGAATGAGGGTTTTGCTGGCTAGGCCAACATTTATTTTTCATCTCTAATTGTCCTTGAGGAGGTGGCAGTGAGCTTGAGCCAGTTGAGTCTCTGTGGTGTAGCTACACTATAGGTTTGTTGGGGGTCAGAGAGTTCCAGGATTCAAACCGGCGACAGTGTAGGAATGGTGATACATTTCCAAGTCAGGATGGTATGTGGTTTGGAAAGGAAATTGCAAGTCATGGTGAAAAGTGACCTTTGCAATACACAAGCACCCCAATATGACGTCTCCAATAAGATGAATTCCAATTGTCACCCGCTGACCTTCAAGGGCATTACTATTGCTGAAAACCTTACTATCAATGTCCTGGGGTCTTACCATTGATCAGAAACTGAACTGGACCAACCATGTAAGTATCATGGTCAGAAGACAAGGTCAGAGGCTGAGGACTCTGCCACGAGAACTTGCTTTCTGACTTCCCAAAGTCTGTCCACCATCTACAAGGCACATAACTTATGATGGAGTACTCCCCACTTGCCTAGATGAGTACAGTTCCTGCAACACTCAAGAAGCTCAACGATATCCAGGACAAAGTAGCCTGCTTGTGAATTGGCACCACATCTCAGACCTTCCACATTCATTCTATCTATCACCAATGCACAGTGGTAACAGTGAGTACTGCCTGCAAGATACAACAACTCACCAAGGCTCCTTAGATATATTGACACCGGAATTGGGGACAGAAGCAGGCCATTTGGTTCTTTTAAGCTTCCTCTACCATTCAATAAGATCATAGCTGATCTGCTGGTGTTTCAAATTCCACATTTGTGTCTAACCCCTGATAATCCTTGACTCGATTGCCTAACAAGAATCTAGGTAACTCTGACCTAACTGCCTTCATCATTTTCTAACTCAGTAGTTCCAAAGCCACATAACAGTAATCAAAAGAAAGGAGAATGGCAGGGTATTATGTAACTAGTGATCAATTGGGAAACATTGGTGTACAAATGGACTCGAGATGAAACATGCAGTGCAGCAAGCAGTTAGAAAAGCATATGGTATGTTGGCCTTATTGCAGGAGCATTTGAGTACAGGATCAAGAATGTCATGCTGCAGCTGTACAGAACTTTGGTGAGACCACACCTGGGGTTAGTGTATTTTCTCTTTACCTAAGAAAAATTATACTTGCCATAAAGGGAGTGCAATGAAGGTTTTCCAGATTGATTCCTGGGATGGTGCACTTGTCCTGTGAGGTGAGATTGGGTCGATGGGACTTGAATTCACTGGAGTTCAGAAGATTGGGAAGGGATCTCATTGAAACATATAACATCTGCTAGGAATGGACATACTGGATGCAGGATATATTTCAGGGGTTCAAAAATAAGAGGTCATGATCTCAGGATATGTGAACTGAGATGAGCAGATATGTCTTCCCTCACAGGTTGGTAAACCTGCAGAAATCGCCACTACAGACGGCTACGGTGGGAGGGGGGCAAGTCTCTGAAATTCCCATCCAACCAAGATAAAAATAGATAGACTTCTAGAGGCTAAAGATGTCAAGGGGAACGAGCAGGAGTGTGGCACTGAGATAGAAGATTAGCCTTGATTATGTTGACTTTCAAACAGCACCTTCCAAACCCATGACACTACTGCCTAGAAGGGCAACAGATATATGGGAACACCACCACATATAAGCTCTCTTCCAAGCCAAATATCATTCTGACTTGGAATTATATTACCATTCTTTCAGTGTCACTGGGTCAATATCTTTGACTCCCTCCCTGACTTGCATTCTAGGTGTATCGACACCATATGGGCTGCAGTGGTTCAAGAAGGCAGCTTATCACCATATTCTTGAGGGTTACTAGTGATGTCCATAAAAGCAAGCATAGCCAGCAACAACCAGAAACCTTGAATGAACTAAGAAAATAAAATTCTGTGGCCGAGTTGATTATTTTGCAATAACCACAACTGTCCACCATAGGCACTGTACTGGGGAGCGTTGGAATGCTTTAGCCTCGAGGTGACAGTTACATAGATAAAAAGGCAAAATTCCTTGTGGCAAGGAACGTTACTCTGGAGATATTAAGAACTACCGATGCTAGAGCCAGAGTTAACACAGTGTGGAGCTGGAGGAACACAGCAGGCCAGGCAGCATCAG